TCGTCCTTTCAGCCGTGGGGGCGTTATAATGCGACGGTCAATCCCACTATTCGTTGGTAAAAGAGTGGCCCAAGAGTTGGCGGTGGGTGGAGATGACTAGCTGCCTTCCCTCTAGTCTTTCACTACTAAATTATGGGCGGCTAGAGCAGATAGCCCTCGTGTAGCATTGCGCGAAATTCGTTACAAACCAAACCTATCGCTATATTATCCTGTTTGTTACTAACGAAAAAAATGAACCGCGAATGGTGACACAAATTCCGTATTTATAGAGTGACTTTGAGTGTGGTTTGATGTGACTTTACAGTCACTGTCGTTTAGTCTCAGAAGAGTCATTATTTTGGTGTATTTTCACAATATTTTCATTCAGTGCCTTGTAACACACATATACACGTGTATACTTATAAATATACAGTATTGGAGGTAATTTAATTCTGGAAGCACACAGGTGATATACTTATAAGAGTTATGTACAATTAGTCATTCGAACTAAATGGTCATTTTATAATTAGCACAATACGTTATTACAGGAAATACTTTAAAAAATTTTGTTTGGAATTAAGCACAAAGCTACACAATGGGCTATCTATGCTCTGCCCACCACGGGTATCGAAACCTGGTTTCTAGTGTTGTAAGTTCGCAGACATAACACTGTGCCACTAGGGGGCACTTAGAAAAGACAAGTAGGTTATACAGTGCACCAGTATTTTGTATTTGCTTTTTGTAGAAGACCACGTCATGTTTTAGTGCTTATATAAACTTGGTAATATATGATTGTGAAATATTATTCCTAAGTGTCCTATATTATCTTCCACAAGTCAGCAGAGTTTGCCGTTTGACATTCTTAGTTTTTATAACCCCATAGAGCCTTAATAATGTTCATGTCTGGACTTTGTGCAAGCCAAGCCATGATTGAAAGTGTTTTTTTCAAAGTATTTTATTCTCCAGGTATCGTTTCACCACATTTTCTGCATGATTAGGACCACTTTCTTGTTGGAAGAACAAGATCTGTCTAATAAGTCTTGTTCCTGAGGGAGTGACATAGTGGATAAGAATGTAATTGTACCTGTCAGCAGTCAGGGTGCCATCAATTTTTTCATAAGTTTTCTTTACCATGAGCTGAGATGTAGTCCATACTTCACTGTAGATGTTAGTTGATTGTGGTCTAGTTATTTTTGCAATCAGACGTACTATCGTTAATTGTTGCCAAAGAATTTGAATTTAGATTCATCTTTTAAAGAGCACCTTCCTCCATCTTTACTCATCCCAATATTTGCAGTTTTGGTTTGTTAATGTTTTCTATAACAGAGGTTTTTGAGCAGCTAAACAACCTTTAAGACCACTTTGTTTTGGAGGAAACATTCACACTTGAACCTACAGCTGGATAATCTCCTGAAGAGTTTGGGTTTCTAGTTGCCCACTTCCTTATCAACAGTACTAATTTCTTCAGGGTTTCCATGCAGCTCCTACTGAAACATAAAATTGCGTCTCAATCCGTCTCATAGAATAGCCTTAACACTTTTTATTTCTACAGGTATTTAATGTGGGATTTCTGTATTGGGAGCCATGAGTACGTCTACTAACCTACTACTGGGAATAGTTGGGTTTGAATTTCGCACAAAGCTGCTCCAGGGCTATCTGCGCTAGCCGTGATAGAATACAGGAAAGGCAGGTAGTCAACACCACCCTCCGCCAACTTTTTGGACAACCTTTCACTTACGAAAAGTGGGATTGGCCGTCACATTGTGACACCCCTTAGCTAAAAGAACGAGCATGTTCGGTGACAAGATTCGACCCTGTCTCTCAGATTGTTAGTGAAATGCCCTAACCACAAGGCCATGTAAATAACATGTCTGCCTGTAATTGTATAGGCATTATGGTGGTGTGGCAACCAATCACAGCGTAAACTATAAACACGTGACTGTACTTTGGAAGAGTTAATTTTCACGGAGTAGAGGGGATCAATCCTATATTATTTACATTTTATTCGCCGTTTCCACAATTATTTCCAGTTCCGTATGTGTGTCCTTATACGTTATTACTACCACAGTAATCATAGCACTGTTAACTCACAAAAGTTAGAGTAACCCTTTGCTTATCTTACAATATACCGTTGAACGGCGACGAAGTCAGGAGAAACGTTTCTGATATAAATCACGATGTTTTCAGTAGAGTGAATATAACATCCTGGTTCTATTTCGAGAGTTTTTTTTTTACCATTAAATAAAACAATTCTCTTGTTTATCTGTACGTACAGGTGGTTTCTAAGTAACGTAAACACAAAAAAAAATTTGTTCTGTTCCAGAACTAATCAGTGGAGTAGTTGGGGATAATGGGGGAAGCTGGGGGCATCAGTTAATCGTGAGGGGAAGTGGGGGGGGGATTTAAAGCCCACAGCGGAGCTAGTTGTAACAAACGTTTCTGAATAATTATGCAAGAACCCCAAAAACAAAGCCTTTCATGTGCACCCACACTCCTTCCTTGAACAAGTGAAGAGTGTCCGAAAACAAAGCCTTTCATGTGCACCCACACTCTTCCTTGAACAAGTGAAGAGTGTCCGAAAACAAAGCCTTTCATGTGCACCCACACTCTTCCTTGAACAAGTGAAGAGTGTCCGAAAACAAAGCCTTTCATGTGCACCCACACTCCTTCCTTGAACAAGTGAAGAGTGTCACATTTCGAAATTGATGAGACGTCCACTTTAAACACATTTTTTTTTATCTTTATTTAGTGTTAGTGACAATCTGGTCGCTCTCTGCTGAGCTGAGTCTATTTCACTGCCATAAACCCATCTTGGTTGGCAACGTGCCAAAAATGTCGAAAGTCAATGCCACCATCTGAAAACAAAGATACCCGAGCGATAAAAACAATATGTGAACATCGTATAAATGAAGATAAAAACCTTCGTATGTACCAAAAACGTGTTTGTCTGTTACGTCAATGTATTAGAAGTCTTCTAAACCAGAGTGACTCTGACAAAAACTATATATATATATTATAAACTGTTTTTATGAAGTAAATTAAATTTAACTCTTAAAGTATTTATTAAACCAACATAATCACACGTTACACATGCGATAATTAAGCCTGTTTACTGGTGAAAGAACTATAATCAAGCTATACTAAAAAATTGAATATTTTAGACGATTATGTCCGTAATTTCTGAAAG